GGGGCGGCGGGGTCCCGCGCCTCTGCAGCTTTGCTCCGGGTGTCCCTGGTCCGCTGGGGGTGTCCCTGGTCTGTTGGGAGGGGTCCCTAGCAGACCAGGGACACCTGGAGCAGCTTTTCTCGCCCCGGAGGATGCGGTGGTGGGACCACTGCGCGTCTGGGTGGTCCCACCGCCCGCGAGTTCCGGGGCGAGAAAAGCCCCATTCGTAAGTGCGGATCCGACATAAGTCGGATCCGTGTAACTTGGGGACTGCCTGTACATGTAAATATATATGCAAATATATGCAAATATCTTTTTTCACACTGACAGGAATGAATACAAATGCCCCGGTGCTCCTAGCACCTCCTCCCTGGGGGCTAGAAATGCTGACACCCTGTACCCGTCTGTTCCCCATCTGTTCCAGCCAGCCTGTCCATTTGCATCTTTCACCCTGCCTGGGATATGACTCACCATGTGGAGCGTGTTCCCAGTGGAGGCCATGTTCAAAGGATCCCACCCGTGGACTGCATGTTGTGCCCTGTGTAAACCCAAACTGCCTTGCGGGCTGCAAACAAACGGGCCGCATGTTGAGTAACCCTGCCCTATATGTTACCTTTAGAGACATTTTTGAGAGTGGAATCAAACTTTTCAATATTAGAATTTATTCCTGACAGGTCAAAATCATCTCTATTTCCTGTGACAAGATTCTGCAAAGTGCTAAGTGCCAGATCACAGGTGATTTCAGTGGGAATTGAGGATTCTCAACATCTTACAGGATTAAGATAGTTTTCATTCCTTCTTTTTTGCATGATAACAAAACAACAGTGTGCATTCAACTCCTAGAGAAGACTATAAGTGCTATTCCTGCACTGGAGAAGCAAGTGGCCAGTCAGCCTTACCTCCAAGAAAGTTAATCATATATATAGTAGCCCAATGTCTGTGACTCTAACACTGAAATGCTGGCTGTTCCCACTGGGCGGCGCTATTGTCTCCCTGGCTGTTCCCTCTGGGCAGCGCTGTTGCCTGAGTCACGTCCTTCGCCTCCCGCTCTGGTGCTCGCCTGACTTCTGCACTGCTCAGCCAGGCCGCTGCAGGGGAGCAAGCGGCGCAAGTGGCCGTTTGGGGTCCGCGCACCCCATGTAGCCCTGCCCCCTGGCCATGTACGTCACCGCCCCACCCCCCTTCGCCTCCCGCCATGGCGCTTGGCTGAGTTCTGTGCCGCTCAGCCGGGCCGCCGCAGGGGAGCAAGCAGTGCAAGCGTCCATTTGGGCTCCTGAATCTAGGCTGATCACTCAGCCCAAAGGGACAGCAATACTTTTGTAAATAGGGTCCAGTCTTGTTCAACGAATTCCAGGCCAGGCCCATCCTTACCATATGCCACACAGCTTTTGTGAGTGGTAAACATTCCCTTGAAAAGGATATAGCTGAGAGGTTTTGCAGTAGCTGTAGCAATAGCTACTACTCATTGAGTGGGTTACCTTCAGTGCTACAGTGCATGTCATACTTACTGTGCCCTCAGTCATCTAGTGAGCCAAAACTGATGTGTGTTCTTCTCACACACCCCTCAGGCAGAGAAGTTTAGTCTCCATCTTTTCTTGTTAGTCCTCTCTTTTTCCTGATTAAAACAGAAACCATCAATCCACATTTTGTAGAAGTGTTGTGTATATTAGATGTTTATAAATTGCAGAACTCCTCACATAACACATAACAGCAACATAATGATTTATTATTAATAAATAATAAAAATAAAAACAAAAACATTTCTCCCCCCCCCCCAGTTTTTTTTTTAAAGGGCAGTAAACTAGGAAGGAACAGGATACATTCTCAAATTTCAATAGGATTCCTTTATCCCTTTAATAGAGAGGGCAGAAGGTTTTCAGGACCAGAACAGTATATGCAATTTTCTGTTTTGATCAGCACAGCATGGGTTTTGATATATGCTGGATACTGAAATAAGTTTTCCTAATAGTTTATTGCAGCTAAGGAGAACTTGAATTGTCTGGCTCCAAAAAATGCATTAGTTAGGTGCTGATCTCTATTCATGGAAGTTTATTTGTATGAAAGGATAAGACACGGACCACCTCTATAACAGATGTAATTTATCCATCTCTATTTAGACAAGTCCTACAAATACATCCCTCTTGTATACATTTTTAACCATGTTCCACCCATAAGTAAGAAAGCTAGCAGTTTTCAAATTCTGCCAGAATCAACAGGCCAAGTGGAGTATTCTGATATATCTAGCACTAGGGTATATCATTTGCTCTATCTTATCTAATTCACCCATTGCTAAGGCACCCGGGTACAATTGCTGAGTGTTATATGAATTAAGGAGATCTGAGGGAGGGGTTCTGTAGATATTCAAGGAACTTTCTTTCTACCCTGAAGGCAATGTCTACACAGTGTGGTAATGCTCATTATGTGATTGTTAACGTGGTTCACTTTAGGACAGGTTAACACAAAAAGTGCTACATCAGCTCATCTGTCAGTGCAATTACTTCACCTCCACAAGAGGTAGAAGCTATGTTGGCAGGAGAGCCTCTCCCGCTGACATGGCATGAGTGTGGACAGCGCTGAGGTCATAGTAATTTTCATTGCTTGGGGGTGTCTTTTCACACTCCTGAGAGATGTAAGCTAGATTGACTTTAAGCAGTAGTGTAGATCTGCCCTTTGTTGGCCCATGTAGAACCTGCTGATTCTCACGAAATGTTCCCTAATGCACTGTAACATAGCACTGTTTCAAAGAGCACTACATTAAAGCACACTAAAGGTGCTTACCGGCAGAGTCTACTGGGACTAATTAATGAGCAATATATTAGTGCACTTTAGAAATCACACCTGCATAGTGCACATATTACCCTTAAATTATTGCTAAAGTCATTTATTCTCCTTTAGTGGCTTTACATTTAAAGACAACACAGCACAAATCCTCATATACACAATATGCCACACAGTCACGTGCCACATCTCCCAGCCTCTCTGAGTCCATAGCACCAGCTGCCTGTGAAAACACAAACCCTCCACAAGTGTGTGCCCTATAAGAGACATGGAATATGGATACAGAAGAAACATCACATTCCACATGTTCCTACACAACATGGTTGCCATTTTAAATGTCAGCAGTTAGCAACAGTTGCCAAGCTGTGATAGCAGAGATCCAGTGGTTGTTTACTATTAAGGAGCTATGCAGTGTTTCCCAACCAGGGTCCCGCAGAACCCTGGGGTTCCACAGACCATTGTCAAGGGTTCCGTGAGAAATTGTGGAATAAATAAATAATTTTTTTTCTTACAATGTAAGCTGACATTATATATATATATATATTAGCAGTCATTGAATTGCGCTCCCCGCTGTCAACTTTTTCTGGCCAAGCAAACATTTTCATAGGTAGGGGTTCCTCGGGATATGAAAAATTATATTAGGGGTTCTTCCATGGGAAAAAGGTTGGGAATCATTGAGCTATGGCATCACAGACCAGAGATGAAGTATATACATGGAAGAAACAAATTTTGAACCCTTCACTTGTTTGAATACACCTAACACATGAGAACCACAGATACATATTGTGAAAATAGCTCTAAGTGCCCCCTTTGGATGATTGCTGTCATTTTTCTTGATAGTTATTCTAGCTTAACATCTGGATTTTACTGCAATTTCAGGGGAATTTAGTAGGTGAACATCTCATAGAGTATTCATGACAGCCTAAACGGGGTGAAAAGTGCAATAGGCCTAAATTTAATTTTAGGACAAATGTATTCACTGGGGATTTTAAATAGTTGGTGGAAATATGAGATGTACTTGCTGGGCAAGTTTAAATGAATATGTTGCAGTAATTTAGAAAGAATCAGCAATTGTTAGATATGATAGGCCTGACTCTGCTCTCATTTAAGTTCAATGGCAAAACTCTCACTGGTTTCAATGGGAAGAGGAGCAGGTCTGGTTTCTTTTCTCTAAGAGAGATAATGATGGTGCCATAACAATCCAGTCATGCCTGAGAAGACATAGGAGCACCAGGTCATAGAAGAGGGGAAAAACAGGTCACTGTGAGATCCTCTGGATTCCGATAAAGCTTTTTCCACAATTGGCTTCATGGAAGAAGCCTGCCAACATTTCATCCACACAAATGGTGGATCTTTTCTGGAAATTATTTGTTTGAACAGCTTAAAAATTGATCTAGTGAAACTAATGCAAGCCCCTAATCTATATGCACTTCATTTGTTTTAATCCTTACTGAAATCAGTGAATTACCAAACTAAAATAAATTGATTTAAGCAAAGCTTAATTGAATCTAACCTTTGGGTTTTGTATCAGTTTAACTAGACTGATTTTTAAACTGATTTAATTAATTCAGAGCATATTTCTACTGAGAAGACTATTCAACTTCTGAACCAGTCCTTGGCAGATGGACAGCCCACAAGACAATCTAACCCTTCTGATTAATGTGCCAGAGCACCCTCTCTTTTTGTTGTATTAATACGACTATTATGTAATTTCTGGTTTTGTGCACATATGAGATATGCAAATAGATTGGTGGGAATAGTTCCTTTCTCAATATGCTGATCATCCTTAGCTTATTTGTATCTATATGGAGTGGGAAACAGCTGTACAAGTGAATGGCAGCACATTGCTGTCAGGCAGGATAGCAGGTATGCCTAGCCTAATGGCTGAGAAGCAAGCAAGCTCTGGTACAAAGATGGGCCATAACACATACTGTGCATATCACCAGAAAGATGCTGTTTTTGTCATCACATGATGATCTAAGTTAATGAAGTGGCCTTAGTTTAGATGCTAGATTACCAGTTACAGCTAAACACATTTTTCACTTTGTCACAATACAAGTTTTCAGCTATGGAACTGAATTTTATTTTCCATGACCATTCTCACAGACAAACCTTCACTTGCACTATTAGTGAAAAATTAATACAAAAGAGATACAAACACTACACACTGAAATTTGGATTCTAATTCACACATATATACAGTGTAGGTACTGTCATGTACTATATATATATATATGCAGTGCCTAACACAGTGGGATAGACCCAAGCACAGATGGCCTCTAGGCCCTACTGCAATGTAAAAGTTAAAATAACATTTCAGACAAGCAATGTGACTGAAAGTGAAGCATTCTCAAAGCCTCGTGACCCATGCAGAGGAACTCTCAGCAGTTCAGCAAAAATCTTTCAGGGAACAATAGTAATGAAGCAGAAGAGAGAAGATAATTGATTCCTGAGAGGTTGGGATTGTTAAACTAGCAAAAGAGTGAAGGCAATGAGAGGGTGACACGTTGGCACAGGTAGAAGCAGAATGTAAATGCTGTAGACCACCACAAACTTTCTGCTTTCAGTCTCTCTTCTGGTGGATTGGGGTTTAAAGCATAATAGAGCTTTTTAATGCAGAACATCATTGCCAGGAATAGTTTTAGAGCACTGCTTGTGAAGGAGAATCCCAAGATGTATCCTTTTCTAGTACGTAAATTCAAGGTGTAGCTAATCCTTAAGACTAGTAAATTCTAACCAAGCACATTAGCATTATTATTTTTACAATAAGCATTTCGGACTTCTATTGGCTTGATCCTGTACCCACTGAGGTTACTGGCAAAAACCCTCATTGACTTAAAAGGTGTAGGAACAGATCCTAAGATTATAACACAACTTCCATTTAATCTGTGCAGAGAAGCAACAGACTTGTAAGAACATTTTAGAGTATCAGATGCATAAGAGCACTGGCATTTGAAATAATTTTTGTACTCAATTTTTATCAGTACATTCCCCCACCTGAAGAGTTTATTTCATTTTGCTCATGTGAAATATACCCAGGAAAGGACTTACCGTCCGGCATAATTGCTGGTTGTGCCTTGGTTGGAGGTGTGTTCTAATGTTTTGCTGGACACCACTTTATTCTGTTCATTTGAGTTTTAGGCTTCCTTGTTGTGACTTTACAGGTGCAGGCAGGTGTCCAGAACTTCTGTTTCCAATGGACACTTTTCCCTCACCCTTTATGGAATCCTGAGTTTTTAAGTAAACAATTCATTCTCTTTCTGATAAGTCACATTAAAATATTGATCACTGAGTGAGGGAGGAGGTGGCCTTCTGACCACGTAACTGCAGTCACCTTTAGTCAAACACACTAGGGGGAAAAAAAAACCTTGAAAATCCGGTTTTTTCTCCTCCTTTGGAATAGTGTAGTGTGTGTGTGTGTGTGTGTGTGTGTGTGTGTGTGTGTGTGTGTGTGTGTGTGTGTGTGTGTGTGTG